TTCTTCCGAATTTGATGAGGACAATGATATGAGTGAAATTTCTGTAAAGGATGAGGTTGACTACTCTGAATTCCTCAAAAGCGAACCCGAACCGGCAAAGCCACTCATATCAGAAAACTCAGTTGAGTTCGCTCATATGTCCAAGAACAAGTCCAAAGTCCTTAGAGAAAAGGCGGTTATATATAAAAAGGTGCAAACTATACCGAATCAAGTATATGCCTCCACTGGAGTTTCCAAGAAGCAAACAGTTGAGCTATCTTCTTTGGTAGATGAAGACAACACTGATGGTTGTGATAACTTTTTCTGGTCAGCTCCCATTAACAATGCAGATGAAACAGTAGGCCTGTCGGAGCAAACCTCGTGGAGAGTCAAGGGTAGATATGTAGCTGAGCCTCTTAACAAGCCTTCAAGCTTTGATAAGCCAAGTACAAGTGGTACTAAAGAAATTAAAAGCGAACCGGTAAAGGCATCAATTGAATCATCTCCAAGCGAAGCTAGTGAAGAGAAACCGAAACCAAAAGCAAACATTCACAAATCTCGAAAACAACTTGTTGAGCAAACACGTCAAAGGAACAGAAGGTACCAGAAGAATTTCAAAGAGAGAAAACAGTTTTGGAATTCTCAAAACGCTAATCAAGTTCACAAGGTATCGAATCCACAGGAGAAAGTAAGGCCTCAGACAAACAAAGGTCCATGCACTCACTGTAAGTCTTGTAGTCAAACGAACCGTAGAAATAGTTTTTGTACCAAATCATGTAGTGATAAGAACCGAAAGACCAGTTTCGGTCCTAAACCCCATCATCTTCATTAACAACCAAATATGAACCCAGTAACGGATATCAAAGGAATGGGAAAGCTAGTCGCGGACTCTGAAGTTCATGCCAAGAAGACGTCAACTAACCCTAGGAATCTAAAGACTATTTTAAATGAGAATCAAAACAAAAACAAACAATCTGATTCAAATCAACCAAAACAATAAAACAATAAAATCAAAGTTTTTACCATCAAAAGAAAAGATGAAACCACTTTAATAAAAAGAACATATTTGGTTTATCAATCTGTTGTAATTCCCTATCCTCTAAAAGGCTCACATGGACCTAAGAAACTTTGTATTCCTAAATCTGCTTGATTTTTGCAGGTTATAAGTGACGACCAGTTTGACGAGGAATGTTAATAGTCGCTGCTCACGTCGCATGACAGGAATGAGGGAAGAGCTAAAGGAGTTTTGGGCCCTTAAGGATGGTGGATGTGTCAAATAAGGAATAATTCATACGACACTATCAAAGGCTATGAAATGATCACAAACGGTGAATTCTCAATCCGTAAGGTAGCATATGTAGAAGGATTGCAGCACAATCTCATCAGTGTCTCTCAACTGGTTATGGCAACTGGCTTAAAGGTTTCGTTCGATGATGTAGGTTCGAAGATTGTTGAAAAGAAGACAACGACTGTCTAGTTAAAATCCAAGCGAAAAGGAGAAATGTATCCTCTAAATCTTAACCTAATTCGAGGAAAGCCAGTTGTATGCTTTTTAACGAAAGCACACTCTGACGAAAGTTGGCTATGGCACCGAAGTCTCTCACGTCTCAGCTTTAAGGATATCAACAAGTTGGTTATTGGTGATCATGTACGAGGACTTCCACTTCTCAAATTTGATATGGAACACTTGTACGCTGGCTGCGAGATAGGAAACCAAAGTCCAAAGAGTCATCACATACGTGTTAACACAAAGATCATCGAACCACTTGAACTTTTATACATCGACTTGTGTGGTCCTTCAAAAATCGAAAGCATCGGTGGTAGTAAGTACATCTTGGTAATTGTTGATGACTTTTCACGTTTCACCTGGGTTTTCTTTCTTAAACAGAAATCAGAGGTGACTCCAAAGCTCAAAGAATTTATAAAGCAAGTGGAACTTCAACTGCGAAAGGTGGTTAGAAATGTCCGAAGTGACAACGAGTTGGAATTCAAAAATCAAGAGTTTGAAGAATTTCTTGTTGATAAGGGAGTTTCTCACAACTTCTCTGATCCCTACACTCCACAAAAAAATAGCATAGTTGAACGGCGAAACCGCTCTTTGTGTGAAGCAGCCCGAACCATGCTCAGCTTCGCGTCCTTACCTTTGTACTTGTAGGCTAATGCAATAGCTGCTGCTTGCTATACCCAGAACCGATCCTTCCTCAATAAGCGATTTTCCATCACTCCATATGAAATCTTGAATAATCGCAGGTCAAATGTAAAGTTCTTCCATGTGTTCGGTTCAAGGTGCTTTATTTTTAATTCCAAAGAGAACCGAAACAAGTTCGATGTAAAGGCAGATGAAGGGATTTTTCTTGGTTACTCACTAACTTCAAATGCATATAGGGTTTTGAATAAACGTTCAAATAAAATTGAAGAAACCTACTATGTCACCTTTGATGATGATTACGTGAAGAAATTTCAATCAAGCAAAGGACCAACGGAGGAAAATTTTCCAAAATCAGGTCAAGTCTCGGTCCATATTTCCAATCTATTTGAAGAATATATGTTGCTCTTTGATGAACCAGAGAGAGCAATTCATTCTGAGACAAAGGCAACTAACAAAAAAATCAATAACTTGAAGAAAATTATCGATGAAGAAGCAAAAGAAATGGCAACTGACCATCAAGGACCAACCAAACAGCCAGGTCCAAGCGAACCTCCAAAAGAAAGTTCTATATTCCGGGGGGAGAATCCATCACCAACAAAGACACATGAAGTTCCATTCGAGGGGGAGCATTCAGAACCTGATGTTGAAAATGTCTCATCATTCAAGGGGGGAATCTATCATCAACTTCAAACCATGGAAATCCAACCGAGGGGGAGTATTCTGAACCGGATGTTGAAATCGTTTCATCATTTGAGGGGGAGAATAATAAAAAAAATGATGAAGATTCTCAATCAGAATTTGAAGAAGTAATACACACTGAATTGGATCCTGCTTATGATCCAAACTATCATCCACTCATTAAATGGACATGTAATCATACACAAACTCAAGTGACTGGCGAATAATCAGAGAGAGTGCTCACACGCTCTCAATCGAAAGCGAAGCAAACTGCTTTATTCTCCCAAGTAGAATTTTGCATGTTTAACTCCTTCGTTTCCAAAATTGAGCTGAAAACAGTGAATACTGCACTTGATCACTCTGATTGGGTACAAGCTATGCAAGACGAACTCAATGAGTTGGAGCGAAACCAGGTTTGGAGGTTGATTCCCACTCCTAAAGATGCATCTGTAGTCGGGTTAAAATGGGTTTCCAGAAACAAAATGGACAAAGAGGGAAATGTAATTCGCAACAAAGCTAGGTTGGTGGTGAAGGGATACTGTCAGGAAGAAGGGATAGACTACGAAGAGACTTTCGCTCCAGTAGCAAGGTTGGAATCGGTGCAAATCTTTATGGCATATGTTGCACACAAAAACTTTAAAGTCTTTCAAATGGATGTCAAGTGTGCCTTCCTGAATGAAGAACTATAGGAGATTGTATATGTTGAGCAACCACCAGGTTTCGTGAACGAAATGTATCCTGATCATTGCTAAATTCTGGATAAATTCGTCTATGGTTTGAAGCAAGCTCCTAGAGCCTGGTATGAAACCCTTACTCGATTTCTAAAAATGTCCAAGTTTAAACAAGGTTCAGTTGATCCAACCTTCTTTCGCAAGAAAAAGGGTAACCACTTGATGATCGTCCAAATGTATGTCGATGACATCATCTTCAGTTCAACGAATCCCAACCTAACAACTGAATTTAGGAAGTTGATGGAGACTAAGTTTGAGATGAGGTCAATGAGTCCAATTAACTTTTTCCTTGGCTTGAATATTAGACAGGGACCCGAAGGCATATTTATCAATTAGGAGGCTTACACGAAGACCCCACTGGCTAAGTTGGGCATGATGGGAGATTCCAAAGTAAAGGTTCCTATGGCATTTGAAATGAAGTTAACACCATATTTAGAGAAATCGGTGGTTGATATGACCCTCTATCGGCAAATGATAGGGTCTCTAATGCATCTAACAGCTAGTAGACCGGATATTATGTTTTATGTTTGTTATTGTGTCAGGTTCACTACTAGAAAAATAGCCTTTTACGAAGTTCAATGCGTGTCATAAAACACTCAGATGATGCGCACATGCGTGTTAAGGAAGGCCCTGTTATAACGAGAGACGACACGCTTTTGCGCGTCGTCTATTTACGACGCACATTTACGAAACGCATTTACGACACACATTGTATATCAAGGAAGGCCCTATCATAAAGGAAGACGACACGCATTTGTGTGTCGTAATCTTACGACACGCCTTTAGGACACACATTGCGTATCATTAAAGCCCCTGTCATAAATGAAGATGACACATATTTGCATGTCATAAACTTCAACAACCATTTACAGTATGCATTTATGATGCATCTTTACAATACTCATTTACACATATAAAAAATAACATATCTTGCAAAAAAATAACAATCCATTTCACAATATATAGTATGTCATATACAACTAATCATTCCAATACTATATAAATGCAATACATTAACTTTTTCATCATATCATCAATTCCCCTAACAAATTACAATCTCCAAATAGGACATACGTTCAGATCCATTTACCTAGCACCAATGTAACCGATTCCCAACTATTCCTCCCAATTCAAGCCTCTCAAAAGAACTATTGACATGGAAACTTGAATTAGGGAAACACATATTTTTTTCTCTTGTATTCAGCTACGTCTTTCAAAGCCTCGTCACATAACCTGTACATGTAAATAAATATATAAGTGTTTTGTAGATTGATTGTTACCTACTGTTACCAATTAGATTGCTAAATTGATAGAAATAGCATTATACTTTCATACATTTGTTTATTATAGCATTCCACTTTCATTTCTTTGTATTATAATGTTAGAATTGAGTAGATTGTTCAAATTTTAATGTCTTAATAACAAAAGTAGAAGTATAATGCTATAATAGAAAAGATATTTTTTCAAATTACAATGCAGGAGAGTGCCTGGCTGTTCAAATCAGAAAAGAAAACCAACCAACCCATTACATTGTTGTGATGCATTTGTCCCTACAATTTAACTTTAATGTCATTAAAAAATATGCATGAAATAAATTATTATTTCACCTGATCAATAGAGTCTTAGTCTCTACTTTATCTCGACACAATTGGCTTAATGAGTTAACAACAATGATATACTATATAATATGATAGTGTTTAATCTGGGGTTAAGCTAACACACACACACATACCAACCTTTTACCAATTTTCCCTTCTTAAAATTGATGAATATTGTTAAAAAAAAGTTTTATTGGAATGGAAAGTAAGGGTAAAATTGTACCTGTGTGAGTGCAAAATGGTCTCGATGTATATCCAGGAACAATGGAGGTACCTGTGTGAGTGCAAAATGGGTGACTCGTCTGCTTCTTCATCTAAAGTGATGTCTTGACATGCTGATACTCATCTATAAATATATAAAAGAACAAAAAAATTAAAAATTATCATAGTATGTTGATTTATATTACATTCATAGATCGAAACTATGTTGACTTATATTACAACAATCACAAACTACATGAAGAAAAAGTGATCATCTTTTTAATTTACAAACCTTTCCTCCAGTAGCAAGAATATCAAGAAACAGAGTCTCCACAACTTCATGCCCCTCGGTCTCCATCTGCAAGGTTGAACAATCTTTTTCATTTAATTATATTTTCTAGAATATGACTATTAATAACTAGGCGTATTCACAAATATTTGAATTCGAGATCCAAAATTATTCACAATTTTGGGATATGTATTCGCGTGATGATTTTACAAAATATCCAATATAGATTAAACAAGGTTATGTTCATTATCTGGTAGTTAATATTAGCAATACTCAGACACTTCTTGTCAAGTTTTTGGAATTTTTTAACACATAAGTAAAATCTAAAAACAGTTATTTCAATTCCAAATCCCTGTACTTTTTTCAAGTTTACAAAACTAAGAAGAAAATATGTCGTGGCACTTGGCTTTGGCTTTGGCTTCATAAAGAAAAAAAAAGAGAAAGAGAAAGATTGCTAAAAATACTCAACAAGGTTAAAATCTAACCATATAAACTCACCTCAGTGTTTATCTTCGTTATTCTGAACTGAAAATGGTTTCTTCTTGTTCTTCTTAATACATGGTCTTCACTCAAACAAGACCCCTCTGTTTAAAAACCTCAAGCATAGCAACTGCAATCTTTGCCGGTGATTCCACCACTATCACACCCGCATCCCTCAGGGTTCTGATTTTGTCTTGTGATCTACCCTTTCCACCTGATGCAATAGCTGTCAATTCAAACCAACATTAATTATTAAGTTAATCAATAATCATCCCACACACCAAAAAAAACTAACTTTATTCATGGTTGTTGCAAGGGCATTCTTGTCTTTTACACAGATGAGAGATGCCCATGTCCCATTTTTATTAGGTGGGACAAAGAATTGTAATTTCCTTGTCCAATTTAAACCAAACATATAAATATAACTAATTATTTTATCTTTCTACATTAAATCTAAATGTGGCAAGAAGTTTATGATCTGAAACCTCAATTTTTCCATTTTCTCCAAGCAAAGGTGGAACATCCTCCTCTATAGGAGCCATTTTTTGTCTGACCTTTGACAAAAGCACCTTGTTGCTTCAGCAGAGCTAGTAATTACAACAAGAGTACTAGTTTTAGAAAAAGTCAAAAATAGCCCTAGAAAATCCAAAAAGCCATGTTCCATGTAACAAAAATACATAACAAATCTACCTGCTACTTTTCCTCTAGTTTCCTCAGGAACAGAAGCTGCTGACCAAGATGCAAAGTTGGATTTAAATGAACTTGTCTCATGACCTTGACTAATACGGGTCACATGAGTTGAATTTCACAGATGTTCTTTGAGAATAAACTCCTACACAGATGGTGGTTATATTATATATGGGAGAATTGATAACAAATACACAAGATAAAAGATAAAAGATATAAGAGGGAGGAACCTCAGCAGCCTGCATGACATATTTTTTATCTGGAAATGGTGTTGTTCGACCAACCTAAATGAAAAAATCAGTGCCACGGTATAAAAGATAACATTTATCATTATGTAATGATGATTTTGAAAGTTCGCCTTCTATTTCCTGAAATTGACCTCTAACAATGTTGCATTCAAAATAGTTGGAACAGTTTCAAAATTCATAGATTAATTGACCAAAAGAGTAACTAGTACGTGTCACATTTTAGGATTAAACATTACAAATGAAAGAGTGGAATTATACTAGTAAATTTTTTTTAGGGGGGGGGGGGGTTCAAGAATTATATCATCATCACTTGCTACTTTCTTGCCGCCTATAGCAGCAAATCCACCAAAGAAGGCCCAAAATTCAGCTGATCACATGCACTCCTATACAGCTTGTTCAGACATGTCATGTCACAGATGGCAAAGAAATACCTCTAGCATGGCCCATGCGTTGCCCAGGTGGAGCAGTAAGTCCAACAATAAACCCAACAATAAATTAAATTGTCAGTCCCACTTTCCTGTTTCCAAATTCAAAATAATTAGAATTATGAGAAACTTATATTACTTTCATAGAAATAAGTAGAATTATACTATTCATCTGATATTAGATGTCTTCTAACCTTTATGAGGGAGGTAGCATCTTCTTCTGCAGTACCTCCTATCTCACCAATCAAAATGATACCTGAAATGCAAACGGAATTAAGTTTTAGAATGTTGTAACCAAATAAATTTGAAATTGTAAGACCAAATAAATTAAATTATTACACAATTTACTTTAAAGGTAGAACACTTGATGTAAATTCTGTTTGACATAAATATAACTAGATGAGACATCAAAATATATGTTTATTACCCATGCTACATAATCATACCTCTTCTAGGATTTTTATAGACAACAATATTTTTATCAACTGCAACCCTATACATCTTAGCAAAAAACCTTTTAGTAGAGTCAGGTGAGAAATACCCTACTACCAACTGTATTATATGTATCCCAAATGCTATTGCTTGTGTATGGTCCTATAGGTTTGGTGTCAAAACCGTTTGGTGCATCAGATAAGGAGCACCATTTCCATTTCCATCTCTGATTCCAATGACTTCTTCTAGTATATCATAAGGAGCACCAGCAACTGCCAAAAGCTAATAAAAGTTAATTAATAAATTTTTTGCTTTCTAAATGAGTAGATTAAGTACCTCATCACCAGGCCTCAAGAAAGAAAATAGGGCACATGTAATGGCATGAGTGCATGAGAAGAACTAAACTAAAGTGTGTTAAGTAAAAGTATATGATATATCCTCCTCTTATTAAAATACCTTCTTGTGACATTCCATCATGCCCTAAGCTAGGCGTAGTTGTACTTATCTTGTCCTCACTGCCACCAACCAATTCACTAGTAATCGGTATATGTAATGGAGGTTGGTGATCAGGCCTATAGGATCTAAGGAACTTTACCCTTCCACACTCACACTGTACATGGAAAAAAATATTCTATCACTTTCATTATTTCATATACAAACACTTTATATATATAGGAGAAAAGGGTGTAAGAAACAAACACCTTATTTATTTATTTATAGTTTTTAAAAAGGAAAAGTTGGTAGTAACATACCTTACAGTTCTATAAGTATCTTTAACAGTCTCAACCAAGTAACATGTGCATCAAATTGGATAATTGGACTAAGAACTTCTTCTCATAGTAAGGACTAAATGCAAGAAAGAGAAAGTCTTACATTCCCCTGATGGCGATTTCTCTACTTCATTCCATAGCATACGTCCAACAAGATACAGATAAACCTGATGAAATTAAAATTTTGGGGAAAAGAAAAAATAAAGATAAAAGACATAAATATTTGATTCAAGTTAATTATATTCCATTAAAAAGATGCTAATAACCTAATACTGAATTCTTGAAGATCGATACCTTTGTATAAGAGTGATTAGAAGATCTAACAACCTGAAGAATCTATTTGTTATGACTTGATGAAAAATACATGAGGAATTTAGGGTTTCCTTGGTTACTCCCTTCACATCCTTGACAATCTTCATCTAGTTGACTCGGGGTGGTCGAATAGGAGTAGTCAAACTGGTAGCTCTTATTGACAAAGAGATCTCATTCATCATAGCGTGGTGGAAGAGTAGTAGTTCCCGATCGACACTACAATCGAGGGGAGTTGCAATTGCCGATCGACTCAACATGAGGATGTTGATGAGACACAAATACTATTTTTCATAAATTGTAAAACCAATAGGTGCATTCTTCATGTTTCTTTTCTTTTCATCTCTCTCTCAAAGGGAGACTAGGGCTTGAAATTTCTTGATCTTCAGAGTGACACTAGAGCAGAGATACTATGAGACAATTAATAAGTAAGGTCAGTAGTAGCAGATCGGAGAAGCGGGAGAAGGTGGGAGGATTGGAGAAGAGGAAGAAGGAGGGAGAGGGGAGAATCGATTGGAAGATGAAAGATAGAAAGAAGGTAGAAAAGAAGAAGGCGAGTTTTCAAAATTTTGGGTATTTCATTTCCCCCGTATCTACTAAACGTGCATTCATTAAAATTATAAAGCAACACTTACAGATGACGCGCATCTAAGATAGAGCGTCCTCTGTGTTTTTTTTTCTTATGACACTAATTTAAGGGCATGCAATAATGCGTGACCTAAATCTTTAAATTTTTTGAATAGATGACACTTTTTTAATGTCACTCTCTTTTGCGTAACATAAATCAAAGAGTGTCGTTGTGCGCGTCGTAAAAGGGTATTTGTCTTGTAGTGGTTCCAAGCTAATCCACGTGAACCTCATACGGTGGCTGTTAAGAACATCTTCAAATATTTGAAGCGAACCTCATCTCTTGGTCTGTGGTATCCTACTAAATTAGGATTGTTCGTACAAGCATTCTTTGATGCTGAACTTGGAGGACGCGGTTTGGACCGAAAGAGCCCTACAAGCGGATGTCAATTCCTCGATGGAAAACTTGTCACCTGGCAGTCCAAGAAACAAACATGCATGTGTTTCACTCTATACAACCGAAGCTGAATATATTGCTGCATCATCTTGCGCATCCTAGGTCATTTAGATCCAAAGATAAATAAGAGATTATGGCCTCAACATGAAGAATATTCCTCTCTATTGTGACTCAGAAAGTGCTATTCGGATATGTCACAACCCAGTGCAACACTCCAAAATAAACATATCGCACTGAGATATCACTTCATCAAAGATCACGTTGAAGTTGATAATGTTGAAGTCCACTTTGTTCGATCAACAGATCAACTAGCTGACATTTTCACAAAAGTCTTACCTGAAGCAAGTTTTAATAAAATTCTCCAAGGCTTAGGAATGATGGAAGCCAAGTCAGTACCGAAACTTCTTTCACTTCATTAATTTGGTCAAGTGAAATAGAGCGAACACTCGATCTATTTCGGTTCTAGAATTTTCGGGAACCGAATGCTCGGTCTATTTCGTTTCATTATTTCTAAGGTATAGTTTCGGTTGTATATTTTATATGTCCTCGTTCATTAAATTTTTTTGTTTTTCTTTCTTTTCATAAAATCCAAAAATATTTTCCTTTGTGTTTTTATTTCTTTACAGAAAATTTCTAAAAATTACAAAAATCTTTTCTTTTCTTCATTTTTTTTTGCAATAAAATCAAAATACCAAAAATATTATCAGAATGGACTCATGGGCATCTTCCAATGCAGTAGTTGGGGCATATATATTTATCTTTATCTTTGGAATAGCTAAGTGTCCCTAGAAGCATGCTGTTGCATGTTGACCGAAGCCTCAAAGACTGCAAGTGAAACCTTAAAGATTCGATATACACAAATCGATTCTTCCCAATCAGGCTGACAATTTCACTCAAGTCACGAGCTACCTTACTCTTCTTATATTGAGTAAAGAGTTAACTGCTTGGTCACTTTCACATAGCAGAGGTACTCTCGATCCTTTAGCCATCTCATCATTATTCTCCATAATGCTTCACTTCATGAATGTAACTCTTGAGACTCTCAGAAGTTACAACTGAGGTTTATGGTTACACAACATCTGTGTTAATGATCTTAGTTTCGTTTCACCATGTGCTGAGTGAAACCCAAAATCCAACACCTACAATGAATTGACGGTGAACAATAACATGTTCTGGTTTTCACCCACGTATTAACGAATCCACTTTAATGGAAGGTACCAAGAAATCTCTTTTTATTTTTGAGCGATCTTTATGAAATTGTCTAAATACCATGACTTTTCTTCCCAAAAGATCCTCTTTTTTTTTTTTTTTTTTTTTTTTTTTTTGAGATTTCTACAATTATCACGAAGTCACTGAAAATAATTCAAACCTACTTGTTTTATAGGCCACATTGGTCTCACAAGTACCTCATCCAGCTTTCGGTCTTATGTCAAGTACTAAAGTTTGGTTGAAGCTAAGCCACCCCTTATAGCTTACATTTGATAAGTTGCCTTTAAATGTTTCTTAATAAACATGTGATCGTATTTCAATGGGAAACCACACAGACACTTCTAAGTCTCTCTTGACTTTGAAGGAAGTGATTCATGTCCGGGATCCATAGTTTCGTGTCTAAATAGACATCACTTAAATTCCACGAATACTTTGCTTTATTTCTTTTCTATTGGCACTCTCTTGCACGAAGATCCTTATGATTTTCCCAATTCTTGTTCGTGGTACTAATGGCAATTTTTTAGATTTGATGCTTCGGTTGTAAATACTATGTTGGTAAACTATGTTAAGGCACAAACAATACCAGACTTCTATGAAGTGAAAGGGTTTGTCACAATCTGAAAAGGAATTTGAAACATTTTCAAAGTTGAAAAGGTGGTAACAAGATAATATTTCAATTCGAGTCATTAGATAAGATTTGCAACGGGCGCGTGAATTTGAAACGGTTCCTAATATCACGCCTGATGACGTCTTCCTAGGGAAACCCAGCTGTCAAATTTCACTTTTCAGGCACCGATTCAGAAGATTGTATCATCATTACTACGAATTCTTTCTCTCTCCTGGAAACGGTATATAATGCTTCTCACACCCCTTGTACCACTTCACCACTTCCAAACTCTCTCAAGAACACCCGACGAATTTCTACTGTTCATCTTCTTCTTCACACCTGCAATAATGGCTGAATCTTCATCAGTTCATGAACACACTGCTTCCTCTTCTCTGTTGACCATAAAACCCAATCAAAACTTGATTATCGATCTGAATCCTTTCCTTTACAATCCTTACATGCTTCAAGTGGTCGAATGCCTCAAATATTCACCACTTGTTATTGCTTTAACCTAAGTGGAATTGGTACCCATGTCTCTTCTATCCCAAGTGTATTTAACAACATCTTATGATAAACGCAAGGAAATAATCTACTTTGAGATTTTTAGTCACAAGTCTTCCATTTCCAAAGCCTGATTTTATTCTCTGTTAGGGATACTCTCTGATGATTCTGTAGTGGCTCCTGACTCCATCACTACCACACAGTTGTTCACCATGTTCTATGATATGGGATACACTGATCATCTTACCACGGTGACCAAGTTCAAGAAATCTTGCCTGCCTCCTCAATGGAATGAAATTTTTACTCTTCTTTTCAAGGGCTTAGCAGAGAGGGTTGTTGGATCTAATGGTGCCAGCAAAGGGTTTATGACCATTCTCTATGGTCTTTACCATGGTCTCAATTTGGATTATGGATCCCTTATATGGACTCAACTGGTGCAAATTCTAAATTCATTTTCCAAACATTCTGAAATCTCATGTGGAAGGTTCTGGACCTTAATCACTTAAAGGGTAATGAAGGATTTTCAGGTTCCAGTAATGGCAGAAACATTAAAATCTTCGATTGCAACTTTTACACAACGAATATCATAGTCACTGATCCGACCAAATTCCTGTTCATTGGTTCCATTCCTGAATCGATGTATAGGTGTGTCTCTGCCGAAAGCAAGGTCATGGCCGACTACCGAAACCTCCCACCCACAGGACCAAGGCAATTAACTCCTGAGATACAAACCGCGTTGGATGTCATTGATAAACCAGCTAAAAGGGGGAAGAAACCGGATCAAAAAAAGAAAGACAAAGAAGGCCAATCCTCCCACACTGCCACGCCGAAAAAGCGTAAGGCCGAACAAGCAGCTCCTTCCACACCAAAGAAGCGAAAGGTGAAAAAGATGGAAAAGAAATCGAAGGCAGCTTCGCCTAGTGATTCGGATTACGTTCCTTTTGATCACGATCAAGAGAAATCAGATGAAGGTGAAGATGCTCACATTAAAGGATCACCGAGGGGAGATATGCCTCCACGTTCTCCATCTCTTGCGGTGCCACTTAATGATTATATTCCAACTCCTCCTCCTTCTCTATCTTATACTACTGTCCTTATTTCCATTGCACCACTTCCACCACCTGCTTCTTCTCAACCTACCTCCGCTACACCTCTCCTTCCACCGATCTTCACTCAAGCAACAACCAACACACCCGAACCTTCGGTTTGTGTCAACATATCTGATACGGGGGCACCTCCCGTAGGAACTGAAACACCTGTCACTTCCAAACCCATTTCCCCATCTCCTTCCACAGAATAATTTCCAGTTCTTGGTGGAGAAGATGTAAAATTTAACTCTTATTACTACAGCCCTTATAGAGTTCACAATGAGGATGATGATGATGCTCTTGTTACAAAGCGACACTTAAAGGATCTAAATGAAAAACTTGACAAGCTGCTCGCTTCATTTTCCTCTTCCTCCATATCAGCGTATTCTGATGCTGCTATCCAAGCTCTAATTGAAATTTCCCTCAAGAAGCAGGATGAGTCAATCCAGAAGGCAACCGAGATAGTGGATGCCTCTACTCGGTCTTTTCAGAAAGCAACAGAGGAGGTAGCCACTCTTATTTCAGATGCAAAGATTTTTCTAGAATCTCTTCAAGGAGCCGCAGAGACCAATACTAACAAAGCCAACACTGCCATTGAGTCGCTTTCCAAATCTCTTCAAGCTGAGAAAGAAAAATTTAATTTGGTGCGCTCAAGTCTTAAAGTTGATCAAACCACTCTTTTGTCCTCTATCACCAGTCAACTTGACAAACTTCAACCTGATCTTGCCATGGAGAACAAAATTATGGATGAACTTGCTCTCAAAACTACTTTGCTTGAAGTTCAGTCCGTTCAGCTAACCCAGGCGAATAAGGAGATTGATTCACTAATGA